GTACTAACGTCCCTTTTGTCGGGGGCACTGCATCTTTAATGGATGCAGGTGGTTCTACAGCAGATGGCATTGATCAGTGATAGCGGTACACTCCCTTTAGCCGATTTGGTGAGCCCCACTTCATTTCGGAGTCATGTATCTTTTGTTTCTCATGTACTTTGTGGTTGAGGTATAACCGGGGCCTTGTTGCCAGCATTCCCATATTACTCTTCAGTTGTACTTAGAGGCTCCGTAGACAGGTTGTGGGTGGTATTTGNAGATGTAAGGTATGAATAAACACTGTGGACGGTCTATGAAACGCATAAGTGTATAATATGATATGTGAACACTAAGGACGGTCTAATGAGACACATTATTAATGCAGACAATAGGTGCCCCTTTTTGTTGTCCTTGTTTGTACAGGTTGTTTCAATTACATTATATTATGTGTTCCACGTATAGATCATATNAACATGTTTTTCATTAAATCTATAAACTCGTACTATTTTGGAAATATTGAATGATGCTGTTAATGGGAATGAAATGGAAGCGGTTAATGAAATCTCCTCAGTATTTGATTAACGGAGTATATCTCCTCTTTATTCATGAATGAATATGGGTAGAATGAAATATAACAGGCTTGCTCAGTTGGGTTCACCGGGTTGAGCGCCGGTAGCGCTCCTCGGTTTTGGGGCATGACAGGTATCAACTACAACTGGAAACACCTATACCGGTAACCCTAGGAAGAAGGCTTTTGTACTAGAGCATGTTCAGGGTTTCTGGTCAGAGCTCACCACCGGATAATGACACCTTTGATGGAATGGGAAGATTGTTCGTGACTATGATCGAGGAATGTTGTGGCAAAGATGATATCAAGACACTGACCATTCGGTGTATCAAACCAGGAGAGACCTTGCAGAATTACACCACCAGTCCGTCTCTGGTTCGCTGGGAGTCTTGGCAGTGTGAAATTGTAGTAATTTTGAAAAATGCATGGTCAATTAAGGTATGAACCGTGCCTGTACTTTGTTGTTAATTGCCTCCTTAAACGCCGAGACATTGCTTTTGATGAAATAAAATGAATTATTTTTTCCGAAATCATTGCAAATTCTTTTTTAGCTCTTATTTATACTTAGTTTTACTTTTCAGTAATCGAATCGATAAAAACCCACATTCCCCGATTTTGACATGTAACGAAACCCTTGAGCAAAATGACCCAGACTACGAAGAGTATGATTAAAGCATGATGCCTAAGAACCTCCTGCAAGAGATCGAACAGCTAGAGAGCCAGAAGAAGCCCAACCTTGAAGAAACAGAAGTAATCAACTTGGGAAGTAAAGAAGAGGTGAAAGAAACTGGAATCAACATTCATCTAAAGACAGAGTAGAGGGAAGATTTGATGGAGCTCCTCCGACAATACATCGATGTATTCTCTTTGTCATATGATGATTGCCCACCAATCCCGCCAGACTGTTAGTCAAGCAGAAACCCAAAAAATTCAAGCCAGATTTGAGTCTAAAATAAGAAGTCACCAAGCAGATAGAGGTGAATGTGGTGAGAGTCACCAATTATCCTACATGGTTGGCAAACATTGTACTAGCATCGAAGAAGGATGGGAAGATTAAGATATGTGTGGACTATCGAGTTCTCAACAAAGCTAGTCCAAAGGATGATTTTTCTCTACCAAATATTGATATCCTTATCGACAACTACGCGAAGCATGAGTTGCAATCGTTTGTGGATTATTTCTCCAGACACAACTAGATTTTGATGCACGAAGAAGACACGGAAAACATAGCATTCACCACGCAACAAGGAGTTTATTGTTATAGTGCCATGCCATTTGGTCTCAAGAATGTCGGTGCTACCTACATGAGGGCCATGAAGACCCTCTTTCACGACATGATCCACTAAGAAATTGAGGTATATGTGGACGACATCATCATTAAGTCTCAGAAGGGCATCTCAGTGACTTAAAGAAGTTCTTCGAACATTTACGGAGGTACAGATTGAAGTTGAATCCTACGAAGTGTGCATTCGAAGTTCCCGCAGGAACACTGTTAGGTTTCATCATTAGTAGAAAAGGGATAGATTAGACCCTTCAAAGATCAAGGCCATTCAAGACTTGCCACCACCCAAAAGAAAAAAGGATGTGATGAGCTTTCTCAGTAGATTAAATTACATCAGTAGGTTCATAGCCCAGTCAACAGTAATCTGCGAGTCTATTTTCAAGATATTGATGAAAGATGCTGCTACAAAGTAGATGGAATAATGTCAGAAAGCTTTCGATAGGATCAAAGAGTATTTTTCAAATCCGCCAGTATTAGTTCCTCCCGAACCTGGGAAGCCGCTTTTATTATACTTTTTCGTTTTGGATAATGCATTTGGATGCATGTTGGGACAACACGACGAGACTAGAAAGAGGGAGCAAGCTATCTATTACCTAAGTAATAAGGTTACATCGTATGAAGCTAGATACCCCTTGTTAGAAGGGAAAAGAGCCAAATATACCCCTATACTTTCAGATATTGTCTATATTTAACCTCAGTTATACTATCCGGCCAAATTTACCTCTAACGTTATATTATCCGGCAAAATTTACCCCTAACGTTATACTATTTAACCAAATTTATCCCTACTATCAGCAAAATTTTAAAAATTACCCCTCAGTCCGTCAGGTGACCCAGAATCTCCAAAATCATTTTAATTAAGTTAGTTATTCTTCTTCTTGATCCAATATTTTTGAAATAATTGGCATTTACCTTCTTTCTTAATTGAAAAAATAATAAGATAAAGAAATATTAAAATAATACAACGGTTAGTAAGCAAAATATAGTAAATTGAAGAATCTAAATTAGGTAGCTTGTCTAAATTCTAAAAATATTTACAACAACCCAATTTTAATAAATTCGTTGCACCAAAGGTATGGAGACTTTTCAAGTATTAGTGATAGAAGTTGAAGTTGCTTGGGGACTTTACATTGTCGAATTTAACTTTGCTCTAATCAAACGCCTACGCATTATGCAATCTTAAGTTTGTCAATCGAACTCTACACTAACCAGACAATAACAAAATATATTCGAGTATTCATGTACATACATGATAAGCAACCACATATAATACACAATAAATAGACCTACTAAATTCTACGGTGTATATATGATTGAAAAATAACTAAAATTTTAAACCAATTCCAAATCCATTACCACAAGAATAGAAGTGGGTGCATTGGTAATTAAAAATATTCATGAATAATTTGTAAAGTCTAGTACCTTTAGTATTAACATCAATAGTAATTTCTGAAAATAGTAGAGCAAGAAGAACAACAAGTGATTTAAATAAAAGAAAATTGGGAGATTTTGGATTACCTAATAGATCAAGGGTTAATTTTTAAAAGTTTGCTGATGGTAGGGCTATATTTGGCCGGATAATATAACGGTAAGGGTAAATTTGTCCGAATAGTATAACGGATGTTAAATGTATACAATATCCGAAAAAAAAGTGGTATATTTGGCCCTTTTCCCTTGTTAGAATGGACCTGCTGCACTTTGACCTGGATCGCTCGGAAGTTAAGGCACTACCTGTCAGCATATACCAAGCATGTGATATCTCGACTCGATTTGCTCAAGTACATCTTCCAGAAGCTGATGCCTATGAGAAATTTTTCTAAATGGCAGATTCTTCTTGGCGAATTCCAAATTGTGTATGTGACACAGAAAGCTATCAAGGGAAAAGCATTGGCCGATCATCTCGCAGAGAACCCGGTAGACAAGGATTACTAGCCACATACCACATACTTCCCAGATGAAGAAGTGTTGTTCGCGGGGGAAGACATTGTAGAGTCATGCCCAGGGTGGAGAATGTTTTTCGACGGAGTGGCAAATTTCAAAGGTGTAGGGATTGGGGTAGTCCTACTTTCTGAGTCAAGACAGCATTACTCGGCTTCGCCCACGATAAGCTTCCCTTGCACAAATAATATGGCGGAATATGAAGCATGTATCCTTGAGATTAAAATGGTAGTTGACATGAACATCAAGGAATGTTTGGTCATGGGAGATTCTGATTTGCTGATACACCAACTTCAGGGCAAATGGACCACAAAGAATGTTAAGAACCTTCCATGCTTGCACTGCGTAAAAGAGTTGCATAAGAAGTTCATCAAGATTGAGTTCAAACATGTTCCCAGAATCCAGAATGAGTTCGCCGACACTCTTGCAACCTTGTCATCTATGATCCAGCATTCAAACAAGAATTACATTGACCCCATCAAGATAGAGGTTCGAGATCAGCATGCATACTATTTCCATGTAGATGAAAAGCTAGATGGTAAGCCTTGGTACTACGACATCAAAAGGTTCCTCTAAGTGAGAGATTACCCAGAGAATGCCACCAATGGTCAGAAGCAAGCACTAAGAAGACTAGAAAATCACTTATTCCTTAATGGGGAAGTCATGTATAGGAGAATCCCAGACTTGGGTCTATTAAGGTGTGTAGATGCCGCTGAAGCAACAAGATTACTGGAACAGATACACGCAGGAACATGCGGGTCTCACATGAACGGCTTCAATTTAGGTAAGAAGATTTTCAGAGCTAGATACTTTTGGATGACCACGGAAAATGATAGTATATGTTACGTGTAGAAGTGTCACTAGTGCCAGATTCACGGAGATTTCATCCGTGTTCCACCTAATGAGCTAAACGTAATGGTTTCTCCTTGGCTGTTCGCCACTTGGGGCATGGACGTGATTAGGCCTATAGAACCCACCACATCAAATGAACATTTCTTCATCCTTGTAGCGATCAACTACTTCACCAAATAGGTCGAAGTCTCTACATACAAAGCCATCACAAAGAAAGTAGTGGAAGATTTTGTCCGTAACAACATAGTTTGTAGATTCGGGAACCTAGAAGTAATCATAACTGACAATGCAACCAATCTCAATAGCAATCTCATGAGGGAGATTTGCAAGAAGTTCAGAATCGTCCACCACAAATTCCACAATCTACTGGCCATAAATAAATGGAGCAGTTGAAGCATCCAACAAAAATATCAAAAGGATCTTATAGAAGATAGTAGACAATCATAGGCAGTGGCACAAGAAGCTATCCTTCGCCTTGCTGGGTTAACATATCACTATGAGAATGTCCACTGGGGCAACGCCATACATGTTGGTGTATGGCACATAAGCTTTGATACCCCAAAGGTCACGATACCATCTTTTAGAGTCATTTAGGAAGCCAAACTAGATGACACATAATGTATACGTGTTATGCAAGAATGAATCATGCTCATCTCGATGAAAACATAATGGACGCAGTATGTCATAGGTATCTGTATAAAAATAGGATAGCCAACACGTTCAATAGACAGGTAAAACCTCAACAATTCACACCGGGGCAACTGGTTTAGAAGATGACATTCCATCGTTAAGAAGAGGCCAAAGGAAAATTCGCACCAAACTGGCAAGGTCCTTACATGGTCCATCGAGTATTGTCTAGAGGAGCATTGATCATAGTAGAAATGTACGGCAGAATCAACAAAAAGCCCATCAACTCGGACACAATCAAGAGATGTTAAATTTGAAGATAGTAGATTTAGGGTTTGGTTGTAACAGAACTACGCCCGACCTGACTTCCCATGGTGGGATACATAGGCAACCCATGTAGGATCCGGTCTCTCTCCCCCTCTTTGTAATAGAAAATCCAAATATCATTTTTTATGTATTCGGATCTACACCATGACTTGATTTCCTGTGTTGGGAATACGTAGGCAATCCATATCGGATTTAGTCATCTATCGTAATTGAACTATGTTTTGGCCTTATTCCATTTGGATACTTAGGAAGTCTGAGTCAGAATCAGCCACTTCATTTCAATTCATTATCATTTTGCATCTATTGTAATCGAACAACGCTTTGACCTGATTCCATTTTGATATGTAGGTTTCCTGAGTCAGTCTTGGTCATTCCATCATAATTCATTCATCATCCTCGAACTATGTTCAGACACGATTCCGTTCAGATACGTAGGAAACCTTAAACATCGGGTTCATATACGACATATTGTGATGCTTCTTGGATTGGTATTGGGTGTGTCTTGATGCAGGAGGGTAGGGTGATTGCTTATGCTTCATACTAGTTGAATCCCCATGAGAAGAACTACCCTATTCATGATTTAGAGTTGGCAGCCAATGCTCACGCATTGAAGATATGGAGGCATTATCTCTACGGTGTGTCTTGTGAGGTATTTACAGATCATCAGACTCTGCAATACTTGTTCAAGTATAAGGATCTAAATCTGAGGTAGCGGAGATGGCTGGAGCTATTAAAAGACTATGATATCACTATTTTGTATCATCCCGGGAAGGCCAACGTGGTGACCGGTGCCTTGAGTAGAAAGACGATGAGTATGGGTAGCCTTGCATATATTCCTATTTCTGAGAGACCACTTGCATAATATGTTCAGGCCTTGGCCAATCAATTCATGTGATTAGATGTTTCGGAGCCTAGTCGGGTTCTAGCTGGCGTAGTTTCTCGGTCTTTCTTATATCAGCACATCCGAGAGTGTAAGTATGACGATCCCTACTTGCTTGTCCTTAAGGACACGGTACAACACGATAATGCCAAGGAGGTTTCTATTGGAGATGATGGGGTGTTGCGGATGCAAGGTCAGATTTGTGTGCCCAATATGGATGGGTTATATGAGTTGATTCTTGAGAAGGCCCACAGTTTGCGGTATTCCATTAATCCGGGTACCGCAAAGATGTATCAGGACGTGAGGCAACACTATTGGTTGAGAAGAATGAAGAAAGATATAGTTAAGTATGTGGCTCGATGCTTGAACAATCAGCAGGTGAAGTACGAGCATCATAGGCTGGGCAGTTTGGCTTAGAGGCTTGAGATTCCTGAATGGAAATATGAGCATATCACCATGGACTTTGTTGTTGGACTCCCTCGAACTTTGAAGAAATTTGATGCTATTTGGGTTATTGTGGACCAGTTGACTTAGTTCGCACATTTCATTCCAGTTGTAACTACCTATTCTTCGGAGTGGTTGGATGAGATCTTTATCCGCGAGATTGTTCGCCTTCAGGATGTGCCTGTGTCCATTATTTCTAATTGGGGCATGCAGTTAACATCACAGTTCTAGAGAGCAGTGTAATGAGAGTTTGGTACACGGGTTGAGTTAAGTACAACATTCCACCCCCAAACGGACAGACAGTGCAAGCGCACCATTCAGATTTTGGAGGATGTGCTACGCGCTTGTGTTATGGATTTCGGGGGTTCTTGGGATCAATTTCTATCATTGGCATAGTTTGCCGACAATAACAGCTACCAGTAAAGTATTCAGATGGCTCCTTATGAGGCCTTATATGGGAGGCGGTATCGTTCTCTCGTTAGTTTGTTTGAGCCGGGGGAGGCTAGGTTGTTGGGCACAGATCTGGTTCAGGGTGCCTTGAAAAAGGTCAAGTTGATTCAGGATCGGCTTCGTATGGCACAGTTTAGACAGAAGAGTTACGCCGATTGGAAGGTTCGTGATGTTGCATATATGGTGGGAAAGAAGGTATTGCTTAGAGTATCGCCCATGAAGGGTGTGATGAGGTTCGGGAAGAAGGGCAAGTTGAGCCCCGGGTATATTGGCCCTTTTGAGGTGCTTGAGAGGATTGGAGAGGTGGCCTACAAGCTTGAATTACCACCTATTCTATCGAGTGTTCACCCAGTGTTTCATGTTTCCATGCTCCAGAAATATTACGGTGAGCCGTCCCATTTTTTTAACTTCAGCACAGTTCAGTTAGATGGAGATCTGACTTATGATGTGGAGCCAGTGGCCATTTTGGATCGGCAGGTTCAAAAGTTAAGATCAAAGAATATAGCTTTAGTTAAAGTTTAGTGGAGAGGTCAGCCAGTCGAGGAGTCTACTTGGGAGACCGAGCGGGGGATTCGGAGCAGCTATCTATACCTATTACAGACACCAGGTATGATTATAGACCCGTTCGAGAACGAACGTTTGTTTAAGAGGGGGAGAATGTAACAACACATCCGGTTATTTTGAGTATTGTAGCCCAATTCCCCATTTATTGCTTATTCTATGTTCATTTGTGTTTATGTGACTTGCCGGGATGATTGGTTTGGTTCTGGGGATGTTTTGGAATGAATTGGGACACTTAGTCACAAGGTTGGAGGTTTAAGTTGAAAGAGTTGATCGGATGTTGACTTATACATTAACGGCTCCGGATTGGAGTTTTGGTGGTTCCAATAGCTTCATACGGTAATTTTGGACTTAGAAGTGTGTCCGGATATTGATTTGGAAGTCCGTAGGTCATTTTGGCTTGAATTGGCGAAAGTAAAAAAGTTGAAGGTTTGGAAGGGTGAGAAGTTTGACCGAGAGTTGACTTTATTGATACCGAGTTCGGATTTTTTTTCTGGGAGTTGGAGTAGTTCTGTTGTGTCATTTACGACTTGTGTGCAAAATTTGAGGTCAATCGGGGTTGGTTTGATACATTTCGACATCGGATGTAGAACTTGGAAATCCATTAGTTTCAATAGGCTTGAATTGTGGTGCGATTCATGTTTTTGATGTTGTTTGATATGATTTGAGGCTTCTACTAAGTTCGTATGATGTTTTAGGATGTGTTGGTTTGCTTGGATAGGGTCCTGGGGGTCTCGGGTGTGATTCAGATTGAAATCGGATTGACTTTTGGACTTATGGAATTTCTGTTGTGTTCAGTTCTGGTGCAACCGCACCTACGGAGCCGTAGAAGCGGCCAAGGGTTCGCAGAAGCGGCTCTGAGCGGAGTTGGGATGTTGCGCAAGTACGAGGAAGATTCCGCACCTACAAGCTCGTAGATGCGGAAGGTTGGTAGCAGAAGCGGAATATGCGAGGGGCAGGAGTTTCGGCAGAAGCGGAGGCTTGGGCGCAGGTGCACCTCCGTTGGAGCTGAGTCTTGTCCGCAGATACGGAAGGAGGGAGGCATCAAGGGAAATGCAGAAGAAGAATTTTGGCCACATATAAATGACCGCATAAGCGGTTAAGTGAACTGCATGTGCGAGATGCATGGACATAAGGATATAATCGAGGGTTTGAGTCTTTTATTCATTTTTGGACATGTGGAGCTAGGCTAGGGGTGATTTTTGGGAAGAATTTCACCATAATTCAAGAGATTCGAGTCGTTTGGAGGCTTATTCGTGAGGAAAGTTGGTTCCCTGGTGCTATGCAGTTATCTAGTCTTGTTTTATCCATATAATTCATACGTGTTAGAGTAATTAAGCTGTGATTCATGTTAAAAATCATGTTTAGGCTATGTACATATTCTGTTGGGACCCACTGTGGTTATGTCTACTGTTGAGTTATTTGCTTAAACTGCAATTATGTACTCAGTCATGTTTATTCATTTGCATATCACATCTCAGTCTCTGTTATCATTTACTTTTACATAATGTTATCATTGTTTGGGCTGAGTAGTATGAGACTGGTGAGCTCGTGGGACTGGAGAAATTGATGACTAAGTTGGGCCTGAGAGTCGGATTTGTGAGTGATATTATGGATCGGGCTGCGCGCCGCAACAAGCCTTATTGGCTTATTTGTTATTCTGGATCGGGTTGCACTCCTAAGCAGAACTTATAGGCTTTATTGACAGGCCCTGACCGAGCACGACTGGCGCTCAACCAACATACCCCAATCAAGCAAGCCTATACAATGCCTTCTACCCGAACTTACCCATGAATATAGAGAAGGTATATTTTATTAATTAGACCATGAGAAGATCAAGTGAGAAACACTGATTCATTACCATTAGTTATGTCATTTATAAGTCTCCAAAATATGACATTACACATTCGTAGTTTAGAAGTGGAACATGTGAAACAAATACAACATTCTAGTTTTACTTTCTCAACACCAATATACAACCCACACTATGTCTACGGAACCTCTAACGGATACAAAAGAGTACTATGATAGTGCCAGCAACAAGGCCCCAACTATACCTCAAAACATAATACATAAGGAACAAAAGATACACGACCCCGAAAAGAAGTGGGGCTCACCAAGTCAGCTAGAAAGAGGGTGTACTGCTATCACTGATCAATGTCACCTTCTGTGGAACCACCTGCATCCATTAAAGATGCAGCGCCCCGGGCAAAAGGGATATTAGTACATATGGAATAGTACTAGTATGTAAAACTAAACACCCTCTCAATAGAACGAGTAACAATACAAGGAGAAACAATTACATGATCGAAATGAAAGCTTCAAATAATACCAAAACATCAAGTTAGGAACAAGATAAGTTTTCAAGTAAGTTTCAGTACTTTAGGTTGGGAGATCTTTAGTACCGATATATACCACTGTGATTTTTGCACGGAGACCGATCACGGCCCGATCGTCTAGGCCGTCTTACCAAAGGACATCCAGTCACAATCACACTTACCACCATGTCCGCGACATGGTGTCCGATCTCGACGCGATCGGCTAGGCCGTTTGTAGCACCCCAAAAACTTTTGAAGTACTTAAGCGCTATTAAGAAAGTTGATGTGTGCTAATTATATTATTTTGTGTGCAGACGAGGACTATTAATATGATGGATATCAATTGGATATTATAATAAGTGTACGAGGCATATTATAAGTTATGTGAGGTCTAATGAGAGCCCTAAGTCTAAGTCAAGTTGGAAAATTACATGATAGACTAAATTTCCAAATGAGTACGCATAAGATCTAACTTTGGCGATCATATCTACATATATATAAAGATTTATATGATATATGGCCTATCTAATTAAAGATCTTCGAGTCTAGTTTCTAACGCTTCAAACCGTTTGTCATTTGGACACTCCTACAAGAAGTTATGACAAATTACCAAAGGCTGGCACAATGTGATTCTGCGGCCAATTATGCGACCGCAAAATCATTCTGCGCACCGCAGAAGTGGTCTGCGGACCGAAGAATGGTCGCAGAATTGACCAGTGCAGCCCAGTTCTGGGCATCAGTTTTGTGGTCCATTGTGAGACCCGCATACCCATTCTGCGGTCCATTCTGCGACTGCATACTTGAGTTCGGAGTGTTAATTTTTCTATTTTCATAACCCGACCCCCTTTTGATAAATAGCCATTGGGGCTTATTTTGGGGTGATTTTCTAAGGAATTTAGAGAGAGGTAAGAGCATTTTAGAGAGAGAAAGAGGGAACCTAACATTCTAATCATCCAATCTTGCACCAATCTTCAAGAATCAAGGAAGCCAATCACAAGATCTTCATCTAAGAGGTAAGGTTCCATGCCTTAGTCTTTAATTTCGAGTTTGGGGTAAAATATGGGTGATGGAGAGTATGATTCTTGGGTGTAAGAGTATTATTTATATATTCTTGTACTAATAAGGTTTGTGGGAATATTGTTGAGCTCAAATAAGCAAGGATTGGGTTGTGGGGTGAAGGAAATCTTGTAGAAGAACCTTGTAGCCAAATTTGCACACCTAGTGTCTGATAAAATGCTCAAATGAGCTGAAAACATGAATACCTTCCTAATTTGTGTTCAATTTTATTTTGTCTCAAAATAGATCGGGATTGCTAGAATTTCCGGGAAGTTGTAGTAATTTAAGAAAAGCTCAAAGCGAGGTATGTTGGCTAAACTACTCTCTTAGAATTGACTGCGAGGTATGTTGGCTAAACTACTCTCTTAGAATTAAATTCCATGGTGTTCCCGTAAGTTTCAAGTATGGTTGTCTCAAGTTCCTTATTCTATGTTCCGAGTTGTTCCCAATAAATTTGATTGTCCCGAATAAGCAAAGTGTCGAGAATTATGTATTCAAAATGTGTTCCGAATGTTCCTATCACATTGTGTTATCCTTTGGGAATGTGTTCAATAATAATATGTGTATTAAAATGCTATGTCTTTTAGTCGTGTTTCAAATGATGGTTATGATGCCAAATTGTATGAGAAAATCTCAATATGCTTAAGACTCTTAATTGCTCATATGTGTACCTAAAGTCTTGATTGGAAATGTCTTATTGTTGATAATCTATAAAAATGGTTGGAAGTGAAATAAGTGAATTGGGGATATAAAGTGTGGCCAACGGCCAAGAGTGAAAGTTATACTTGTGGCCAATGGTGCCAATGAAATGAGATGATTTAAGAAATATTAGGAAATAAACTTTGATTCAACTATTCTAAAATTGACTTCGAAAATAGAATTGTTAAAAAGCATATGAACTCAAGTGATGCCCATATGTGGTTATTTTAACTAATGCTATGCTTTGTAAGTAGTTTCGATGTGCTTTGCGTTCTTACATATTCGTGAGTTGAGATTGTGCATTGCCCTTTTTGGGAAAAAGTATTTCAAGAATAAATGATGTGTTACTTGTTTATGATTTTAACTTGTGCTTCGATTGCCAATCATTTTACTCCATTTCTTGGAAAGAAATCCATTGTGTTTAAAGCCTTCATTACTAATGAACCTAAAGTTGTGATTTCCGGAATATTCTATTTGTTGATATTTATGATGATGATCCATGAAAGGGAAGAAATGAAAGTGTAGAATATGAAATACGGCCATTGTGCCATGAATGAAGAATCGTATGTATGGCCAAGAGAGCAAATGAAATAATGATGTTGAAAGTTGTTGAAAGTTCCAATGAGGCTATATACGGTATGAAATTTTATGAGGTAAATGCATTTGTATTGTTGTTTCCTTTGTAAGCAAATTGAAAATATTTTTGCCAGTATCGATAGTCACCGAGGAAGGGTAGGAGTGGATTGTAATTATTTTCCTTATTTGGGATGAGATTGATGTGATAAAATTAATCCCCTTAATTGGGATGTGATGATTGATAGAAAAGGATGATGTCTATCCATACAGCATTGTGGTGAGATGGCCTAACTGATCGGGTCGTGATCGGACACCATGTCGCACATATGGTGGTGATTGTGCTGGAAATTATAATTGAAATTGTGATTGTGGTTGATGTCTCGGATGAGACGGCCTAGATGATCGGGTCGTGATCGGACTCCGTGCTAAAAATACGACGGTATTTGTATTAGAACATTGGTATTGTGAACAGTGGTATTGCGAACAGTGGTATATCGGTGCTAAAGATCTCCCAACCAAAAATAATATTATCATCATATTTTGATCATCACTTCACAATGTTATCTTCATATTTTGGAAATTATTATGTTTTAACTTGGCGTTTGAATATCATTGATTGGTGATTGTTGTTTCCATGGTTTTCCCTTTTCTTACATTGGTATTCTATTTTGAAAGAGGACAGTTAGCTTTACATACTAGTACTATTCCATATGTACTAACGTCCCTTTTACCGGGGGCGCTGCATCTTTAATGGATGCTATTAGTTCAGCAGCGGACAACTTTGGTCCTCTTTAGCAGTTACTCCCTATTCAGCAGGTTTTGGTGAGCCGTACTCTATTCCGGGACATGTCACTTGATGTTACACTTTGTATCTTGAGGTATAGCCGGGGCATTATTGCCGGCACTTCCATACTATTCTTCTGTCATACTTAGAGGCTTCGTAGACAGGTTGTGGGTGGTGTTTGATGTTGGGAGTTGAACTAGAAATACGGGTATTTGGCAAACATGTTGTTTATTATATCTATAAATTTATAATAATTTGGATGTTATAAATGAAGCTGCTAATGGAAATGAAATGGGAGTTGTTAATGAAAGCTTTTCACTGTTTGATTAATGGAGTACATCTCCTCTTTATTCATGGATGAGTTTGGATAGAAGGAAATCTAACAGGCTTGCTCGGCCGGGTTCACTCGGTTGAGCGCCGGTCACGCTCCCCAAGTTTGGGGCATGACACCGTCTCACCACAATGCCGTGTGGATCAACATCAC